CCCCCGGCGGCTCAGGCCCCGCCCCGCCTAAGCCCCGCCCCGCACTCACCTGCGGCATCTTCGCGCGCAGGGTTTCGGGGTTGGGCGACAGCGGGCTGTGTTGGGGAAGAGGGGGGACAAGGAGGTAGGGGTCCCCCACTCTGGCCCGGCTGGCCCAGTGCGGGGGGAGTGGGGTCACTGAGGTGGCGCTAGCCAGGCCGGAGCCGGGACTCGGGCGCTCAGTGGCGGCGGCGGCTCCATCTCCATCAGCGGCTTCACCTGAGGAGAGAGCGACCCCCCCCAGGGCCCCCCCCAACAAGCGCTCCCCCCCACAACAACTTCCGGTCCTACTACCAGGCGACAGGCAGCAGGGCCGAACACCGAGCGCCCCCCAAACCGGAGAGACTGCTGGGGGAAAAAGAGGAGCTAGGGGAGAGTAGCCGAACGCCGAAAGATTCAAGTCTAAAAGGCGGGGTTGTTCGTCAAAACATAACTCGGACTACTTCTTCATAGAAATCTGATGTGCACACTAGGAACACAGTGGGCGCTCCACGTGCTCTGGCACGTCTGTCCTTAGTGCCAAGTGTTGCCTCTGTTCTTCCTAAGACAATACTGATTTTAACCTCTTAGCATTCTTGGCCTTTCCTGCCTTTTTTTGGAATCTCTGGGGCGCTCATGAGGTCAGTTATCCACGTGGCGCTGCGGGTGCTGACAGACCGCAGAGAAGAAAGTACTGCTCCTTGACCCCCAGGTCTCTGCTCCCTCAGCACCGCCACTGCCCATTTAATGACTTTGGGCTCATCTCCCACGAAGACCTAGCATCAAGGAAAACTTTTTGCAACATGCAAACTCCCCAGAGGCCCAAGAGGTCACAGAGTCAATTTTATTGATGCCTTTACAAAGAGTAGAGCTATAAACAGAGGGCTGGGTCCGCACTGTCCCTCTCAACTTCGTGGGAACACAGAGACCGTGAAAAGTGGCAGTTTTGTCACACATACCATACACATTCTCTGAAGAATTTAAAAGCAAAATAAAGGATGGCGATAGGCAGAAGTGGACGTGGGTGGAATTCGAACACAGGGCTCCTCTCCACGATTATTTTCTCACCGCCAGCCCTCTGCTCAGCCAGCTCTCACCTCCTGGCGCAGGGTCAGGGGCCAAGAGGGGTCTATAACACAGTGGCAAAGAAGGAAGGGTGCCTGGATAGAAATATGCCGTCTGTGTACCTGAGTGTGACTGTAAGGCACAGCATGGGGTTGATCCCAGAGGCGGACAGGGAAAGGTTCTTCGTGACAGCGAGGTCACGGGCTGGGTGGAGAACGGAGCTGGGCGGTCCTGGGGTATAGAGGGCTTCACTCCCCGCGCTCACGGGGCGACACGGACACGGACGCGGTGCCAGGCATTGCTGAGCACACCTCTCAGGTTCCAGATTGGGGCCACGGTGTCTGGCTGCACGTTGTAGCTGTCGTCCACAGCCTTGCAAACAATGTTCAGTTCCTTTTGCCCAGCTGGCACAGGGGCTTGCAGCTGCCAGAGACGCCAGGCCCAGGCCTTTCTGGGGCGCTGTTCCTCTCCATCCAACTCAGCTGCCTGCCAGGTTAGCCCTCCGTCCAGAGACACGTCAACCCGGATCACGGCCCTACCGCCACCACTCCACGCATAGCCCTTGACAGTCACATCCCCTGACTCTATGGTCTCCCCATCCCGAGGCTCTGTGATGGCCGACTGCACCGGAAGTTCCTGAATAGATGGAGCCGAGTCGAAATCTACAGTGTCCCAGTCCACAGACGGACAGAAGCCTTTGTAATCGCGCCGCTGCCAGTGGCTGTGGCTTTCGTCTGCCTCCACACTGACTCTGCCCAGCCATTTGACATGGCGAGCACCCACCACACCAGGAACGACCACCCGCACGGGGAAGCCATGGTCACGCGGCAGAGGCTGCCCGTTCATCTCGTACGCCAGCAGGACCTCAGCTTCGGGATTCAAGGCCCGAGCAAGAGGGATGGACGCTCCGTAGGCGGTCCCAGTGGAGTCGCAGTCTAGTCCCTCGAAGCAGACGTGGGCCTCAGTGTCAGACAGCTGGTGACCAGCCTGGGCTAACACATCACAGAGCCGTGCCCCAGCCCAGCAGGCAGTGCTGATGGCCCCAGTCCTCCACCCCAGACCTTTCACTTCCTTGATCTGCATCATCTCAGAGCGCCGGTTGCCGGCACACTGCAGAGTGACAGTGATCTCATGTTTGGGAAACTTGCACAAGTCATCCAGGGACAGACACAGTGACGGATGTCCCGGTGCCCCTACTACATGCAAGCGATAGGTATCAGGGTCCAGGTTAGGTACAGGCAGATGGTTCCGGGTGAAGAAGATAGGGTTGGGTGTGATGTAGGTTTCGGTCAGCAGCTCAAGCGGAGGCTCTGCATTAAAGGGGCGTTGGCTGTTGACCTTCAGGGCTGGGTGACGCTTAGGATCATCAGCGTAAGGGTCAGAGGTCTCCAAGGTTGGGGACACATTGTCTTCAGGGCTCAGATCCCCAATCTTGTACTTAGCCAGTAACTCACGCACATGAGGTTGGTTGTGAAAATCATAGAGGGCCCAGAAAGGCTCGAGGGGGCCCCCGGCTGCTAGGATCAGCTTTGATGGACCTCCTGGATGTAGATCGACAAATTCTGTGACATCAAAAACCTCGCAGCCCAGAGTTACCCAGATCCCAGTCTCAGGGCTTCTGTGGGAACTCACTTCCTCCTTAGTGTACATGTGTGGTGGCTTCTGAGCAGCCTACAGGTGGAACAGAGATAAGGCAAAGGAGAAAAAAATATTAGGAAATGACTCTAGGGCCTGCCTGGCAAGCACAAGGTCCTGAGTTCGATTCCTAGTACCAAAAAAAAAAAAAAAAAAAACCATACTGAGATACTACTTTACAGCAGAAAGAATGGCTATTATCAAGCAATTAAACAATGACTGGCCAGGCATGGTGCCATACACCTACCCTTGTCTTACTCAGCACTCAGGAGGCTGAGTCAGGAGCATCACCCTGAACTTGAACTGCATAGTGAGATCTTGTCTCAAAAAAAAAATAAAAAGAAATTTGGGGCTGGGGATT